AGTAATCCAAGCCGAGGTAACAGACTGACGATTTGACAATCGAAATTTTTGCGAATTCACGTATATACGGAGGCTCGTGCATCGATCGAAGAAACACCTTAACAACTCCCAGCGGGAATCGCCGACACGGATTTATCACGTGGGAGGACGTGCGCTGACTATTTCCGCCGCCGCTGCGCTTTACGCCGCCTCGTGTAATTCCACGGTGAAATTATCGGGCGAATAAGCCACTGGAAATCGGAATGTATGCGAACGTCGGAACGGACATGTGCGTGTCTGTGTTGTGTGTACAGCCGAACAGATCAAATAAACGTCCAGCGGTCAGCGGGAGTTCTATTTCGCTGGTTCTTGCGCGGCGCCTGGATTTGCCGGAAGAATCATTACGCTAATTGCGTATCTCTGTAACTCTAGCGTGTGCGCGCCCGGGGATTCTCCTCGCGATGCGTATAACTAAAACACATTTCGCGAACACGCCAGATCGGCTGTAAACCCTGCCACTCGTGGAACAATTCCGTTCTATATAGCGTATACAACACAGGGGGCAGGGAAGTGGCGCAATTTTGTCGACAAATTTTCTTGCTCGAAACAATTCCCCCACATGTACGCTATATACGTTCGAAACTCCGCCGACTTCGGGAATTAAACGAGCGAGTCGAGAGAGCCTTAATCAGGAAAAATCGAGAGAAAATTTGATTCCGTCAGAATTCGCGGCAGCCGCGATTTTCGCATATACGCAACTTTCGATATTTTTTTGTCTCCGTTCCTGTGCAATATACGCGATCGAAAAATTAGCGCTCCTGTTTCAACGCCCAAAAATATTACTCGTAAATCCAGTAATCGAGCAGACGATTTTAAATTCGTTGAAAGACGGAGTTTAAATTGCTCGAATCTATCTTTCTAAATCTCTTGTATAATTTCAATGGTCAGAGTACTCACAAGCGTAAACAAAGAAGCGATGTGGTTTATATGTGCTAGGAAAGCTTTTTCTATTCCTCTTTTTTTGTGAGACTTAAATCGCGACATTCTAATTCTCAATTCTTGACTTAATTATCAGAACACGTGCGCTAACATTTAATAAGCACGGGAATATCGATTAAATACCATATCAAAACAAGAAAATCTATATGAGATAGCCAAGTCGGAAAATTTTTTTTGAATCTTTTGCACATCAAACTAAAAATATAATAAGACGATCTCTCGTTTATACACGTCGCGTGTAAGGAGTATTGCTCGCAACAAATTAAAACTTGCTTTTTACCTCGGAGAAAATTAACTTTCCGATCTGCGTCGACTGTATAAACTTTTAACTTAGCTCGTTTTGAACGTCGCGTGCCATGCAAAATTCGTTATTGCAGAAATCAAAATAAAGTAGCATCGAAATGACTACCAACACTTCACTCCATTTTCCCTCAACGGGAGATGTTAACATGCCATCTGTGTATACCCATCTCTCGCCTCGACACCGAGAGACAGAAACGTGTACACAACAGCCGCGTTCAATGAAAAAGAGCGAGTGTGCGCGACCATTGACAAAACAGGATGACGTCGTCGTGCCTATCGGACTTACATAATGTGCGACTTCGCGTCAGCTGAATCGAACGTCTCGCGGGCCGCGGCGCTTTTTCGGGGGCTCGTCCCTCCGCGTTCCGGAGGGATGACGCGAGCGATTGAGACCGCGACAGAACGTGTACTCGAGACGATCTCATTCGAATACAATACAGCCAATCAATTTGGAAATTGTCTAAATTAAATTTAGATTAACGTTATCAGTTTTCTGGATATCACAGGTCTGATGTAACAGTAACACTAACATCATTAATTTCTGAGATGCAAAGATTTCTGATATAATAATGTGATTTTCATAATTCGATTTTGAGGGCGACATTGTATTCGACATTCGACGCGATGAGAGCGGAAATTTCGGAGATGGACTCGGGGTGAGAGAAACGGCCGCCATGAAATCCCCTCTCGCGTCCTCGACCGGCGTGTTTTTTTTCTTTTCATTTTAGAGGCTTCGCAGAATCTCGTCTCTCTCTTTCGAAATAATACGCGATTTCACAATGCTATTAATTTCTTTGACGCGCGTCTCACAATCAACGACGCGAAATACCGACGATGACGTTGACAGTCAATAACAGCACGACAATCAATACGACTATACGATCGTAAATAAATCGATTTGTCTCCTCCCGATATCTGACGGTGACCAATAACGCGGGATAAATAATCCGCCCTCGAGAGAGGGAGAGAGAGAGAGAGAGAGACATCGACGTTAAAATCCGAGTCTCATTGACGCGCCTCTCGGAAACAGGGGGGAAGGGAGGGGGAGAGAAGGGCAGCGGCGCAAAGGCGAACGAAGTCATAACTAAGAAATTCATCGAAATGTCGGGATGTATTATTGAAGATTGCCAGAAATGAACGCGAGAGACAGGTCGCGGATTTCGTCGCGAGGACCGCGATGTTAGCTGGGTGTATACGAGCCAAGCTTCACAGGACCAGCTTCGCTCTCTCTCTCTCTCTCCCTCTTTCTCTCTCACCCCCCGCGACCGTTCCCCTAGCGCTCATCCCTTTCGCTCGCTGTCGCTCCACGAAAATGGTTTCGCGTTTCTGAAACAAAAGTGCGGAACTTACTGTCGGTCGAGAAAGAGTCCGCGGCTGCCAGCACGGCCAGCGCGACGAGCAGCAGCACGCCACGGGATTCTCGCCCCATAACAACCCTCTTTCTTCTCACGGTCGTGTCCTTCGTGCCTCCGTTCCACCACTGTGTCACGGCGAACTACTACCACCACCACCAACCACCACCACCACCCAGCGGCAGCGGGCACCACCACCGTTGCCAACCTCTCGGTGCTTCCTGCCGCGACAGTTTCTTCTCCCCGCCTCGTCTCGTTCGCCTATCGTCGTCTTTCTCTCTCTCTTTCTCCTCTCTCTTTCTTCTCTTCCTCTCGCAAATATCGATCAACAATAACAATAACAACAACGCGCACTGCTGTCGGACGGAGCGGCGATCACTGTCGCAGCAGCCTCCTCATAAGACCACGCGGTCCAGCCGTTCGGTATCCTCAAACGGAGCAATCGCGACGTCTCGCGCTCTCTCTCTCCTCGTCTTTCTCATGAACGCGCCGCAACCTTCGCCGCCGCCTCGTTGCGTCCTTTTCTGCCTGCCTGCCTGTCAGTCAGTTGGTCAGTCAAGTCAGCCAGTCAGTCAGTCAGTCAGTCGCCTTCTCGCGATGTTACGCGCGGCAAGAAAAATCACACTCCGCGAAGTGGTGAGACCGACCGGCCCGCCCCGTGTGCGGCCACCTCCGTGCGCGTCTCGCGAGGTATATTATCCGTCCTTCTCCCTCGCCTTTCCTCGCCCGCTGCGTCGATGCTCCGACAGTGGCGGATTGTCGCGCCGGAGGCCGTCAGCGCCCTCCGATTTCGGGCCTCGGGGCGGATCTCCAACGCGGGTCCTCCTCGAACTTACGCATCTGCAAAAATCGCATCGCAAAATAATGATCCTCAAAGCGGGGATTTTGAAGTCCGGCGAACTAACCGCGAGCACGTTATTCCAGCGCTACGCGGAGACAACGCGAGAAAGAGAGCCCATATCGTCGTGTTTCGTTTCCTCATGAATGGGCCGTCATTACAAACCACTATAGAATATCGTAGCAGCAGACCGTTATCCATACCCCACATCCGCGTTTCAAAACCCTCTCTTTATCTCCATTTTCGAATTCCGACCAATTTAGTTGATGATTTAGTTGATGAAACCGAGGTCATTTCGCGCGCGCCTCTCCATGTTATATAATTTAAAGAGTTACGATGGAAATGCTCGTAAAAATGCGAGAATTCAGCATTTATATTTTAAGTCACATAATTATCATTTATAATTCGATACCTGAATGAACTCTCTTTCTCTCCTTTTCACTTTTATTTACATATATTCTCTCGCTCTCTCACTCATTCTCTCTCTCGCTCTCTCTCTCTCTCTCTAACATTTTCTTAATTTGAAATGTTTACCAATGACAGAAGATCTCGAAATTAGTGTCCGAACTCCTGCGTGTCCTTTAATCCGCCACTGCGATTACAGCCGGTTTCTTGTCGCTTCTCTCGTCCACGCTCGATCGCCCAGCGAAGTAACGCCGCTCTCTGTCTCTCTCCCCCTCGCGCGTTCTCCCGGGCGAGACTACACCGGCCGACCAGCGCGACTCTGACGCACCGACATCGCGCCACCTGCGCGCGCAGTCTTTCGCTCCTCTCCATTTCCATTGTGCGCGCGATCTACCTTCCTCCTCGCACCGATGGGCGCCGAGCCGGCGCGGCGTTGAAACGTTATACGCGACTCGCGAAAGTCGCGTTCACGGCGTTCGCGCGCCGAGTCGGCACGGCATGCGAATCGGCGTCCACGGTCGCCGATCGTACGATACCGCGGCCCAGCTTAACCCGGAAAGGCCTGGGTACCGCCTCCTTCCGCAATGGCAACGAACGAAGCGACGGCGTGAAATTTGTGCGCTCACGCGGCGCGTTCGCCGGCGCGCCACGCACGCACACGCGCGCATCTCTGCACCTGTGCGCGCGGATCGGCTGTTATTCCCCAATGGAATTTGTTTTTTTTTTGTTTTTCTTACTTGTCAATTGAATGGGACGTCTAGTCGTTTGCCTCTCACGGATGTCAATATTTGCCCGTCTGAAGCGTACACACTCGCTCTTTTACAAATATGTCGTATACAAGGATCACAAAATAATACAGCTTTATATGTCAATATTTATATATATATGTATATATATATATATATATATATATACACACACACATTACATAATTTTTCGATTCTTCAAAATGACAATGTTATATTCGCTAGTTTGGCAATAATCCAATTAAAGAATATGTAGGATAAAATAATTCAAATTAGCGGAATATATGAGGTGAATTTTACAATCTTTATAAAAATTAATGAACGGACAAGTGGCCATTAATTATTAGTTTGACTTTGAAAAAATAATTGTATTACTATCAATATGTACATCCATAATAAACATTTAATTTTAAAGATTGTAAAAAAAGTATTGGAACTAAAACTATTAAAAATCACAGACTTCGGACTTACTTTGTGTACAAAGGGACAATAACACGGATATTTCACTATTATTCATTGTCTGTGTGAGACTGCGTGCTCCACATCAATATATCAGATCCGTTGGAAGCCAGGAAACAGTTCTTCTGTGGATGAACGCTTATAGATACGGTAGGATGCTTGGTGGGTTTAAAGCCCGAGAGCTTCGCGACCACCTTCTGCGAGACGAGATCCCAAATCCATAGCTTTCCATCCGCCGAGCCGGAAAGAATTTTCGTATCCTGACAGTCTACGCTCGACTCCAGACAGAGATCCTTTCCGGTGTGTCCTGCGAACTCGCCGAGTAACTCTCCCGAGTCCTTGTCGAGCAATCTAATTACATCGTCCGCGCAACTGACAACCAGACATTGGCCATCTCTGGTAAAACTGGCGCATGTAATTGCATCTGAAAAAACCATGTATTGTGTTACGTAATACTGCCTTACTTTCTAACCAGCAAAGTTTTAAATCTATTGCCTGGTAACTCTTACCTCCCACATAATCCTCACAAAGTTCTCCCACTCGTATATCATATGTGCGTACTTTGCCATCAAAAGAGCCGGACAGGATTTCGTGGTCCGAAACTCTCACGCTAGAAATGGAATCCTTGGCATCGTTCAAGGTCTGCACCGCTTCTTGCGCCTTGGAACGGCTGTCCCAACACATAACGCTGTTGTCGCGAGATCCAGAAACGATCATTGACGATTCTTCATTAAATCTGCGAATATGCAACGAGAAACATATTAAGCTCAGATAAAAGAAGAAGCTTGCGTTTTAAAAACACCACGTTTAAACATTGTAACATAAAAATCATCACATGTATATAACTTTCAAGTTTTAAAAATCAGTACACTTAATTATTCTTAATCAAGGCAGAATTCGATTGGCGCTACTAATTAAAAACCATGCTTATATTTTTATAATTATAAATTTCAACAAATCTGACTATAACAATCCTTAACATGTGTACTGTATTATTGAATAAAATATAGCGATGAGACTCAATTGCAGATAATGTATTATTTACACATTTAAGTACCTGACGGTTGTGACAGGACCCGCATGTCCCCTGAAACGACGCACAGGCATGCCCGTTGCCACGTCCCAGACGATTACAGATTTGTCTAATCCGCAAGATGCTATCTGGCTGCTGTCGCATGACGCGCAGGCATCCATGACCTCGTCGCCGTGTCCACCATATGTTTTCAACGTAGCAGACTTGTATGGATTCCATAGCTTCAGCTTCCTGTCCGACCCACACGTTATGCAATATGAACCGTCCACTGAAATACAGAAACCACATTTCCATATACATACATACAGTTTTATTTGAAATTATATTGTCTTAACCAAAGTATAAACCAAATAAATTTCCTTACCACTGAACCGTACAGATCTGATGGCCCCTTGCTTGCAGTCAATCTCTGTCTCAAATTTGTATTCAATACTCATTTTTCTTTCCCTTCGAGCTTACATACACTGAAGTTCGATAATTTTTTTCAATGTATCAGAGCGATGCTTCTCTCGTAGTTCTTTGACGATTCAATTTATCGCGAACAGAAGTGCTACATTTTGTTTATTGGAACGCAGCACGCTAATGGATAACAGTGATCTGACAACTGAAATCAAGTATAAAAACAATAAAAATTTAACAAGATTCTTCGAATTAAAAATACAATAAGGCAGATGAGAATCAGCGTGATTATTGGTACGCAATATTTAATTTACATGAAATTTACTTTATTCCAAAGTCAGACGTTTCGGCTATCTTTCTTAGCCATCTTCAGTGACAAATTACAAAAATTACATATAACTCTTGTAATTTGTCACTGAAGATGGCTAATGTCTATTTCTACCAATGTAGATTAATTTTAATCTCGGTTTAATTCACTGTTTATCTTTTTCTAATTTTTAGAACTGGAAAAAGATATAATATATGTTAAACCGAGAATTAAAGTTAACCTACATTGGTAGAAATGAAGTTAAGAAAGATAGCCGAAACGTCTGACTTTGGAATAAAGTAAATTTCATGTAAATCAAATTGCGTACCAATATCCACGCCGATTCCTGTCTGTCTTACTTACTTATTGTATTTTCAAGTATAAACTTATATTCCGAAAACTTAATATTTCCGAAAAGATTCCTAACCTAGCGACGAAAACATCGACACAACAAACTACATATACAGGCTGCACTGGCTGCAGCCACAGTCCACTGGTCCACAGTACATATTATTGCGTAACCAATCAGAACTCAGAAGCGTTACGCGATACGCGTTACATAAAAAATCTCTGCCATGGGACGGCACCCTAAAAGCAGAGAGGATCAAGTATCCGGTTCGAATCTCCGCTAAGTGAGGTTCGAATCTTCGCTAAGTGAGGTTTGAGTCTCCGCTAAGTGGGATTTGAGACATTTGAGTCTCCGCTAAATTTATATTTTACTCATTGTCAGAGGAGCAGGCTCAAATCAAACCCCACTTAGCAGAGACTCGAACCACATTTTAGCGGAGGTTTATTGAATTTATTCTCCCGCTGCACTTATAGCGCGCATGCATTCGAACCCCACTTAGCGAAGATTCGAACCTCACTTAGGGTGCCGTCCCATGGCAGAGATTTTTCATGTAACGCGCGTATCGCGTAACCAATCGGAAGCGTTACGCGTTTTCTGTAACGCATAATTTATTTGCATATAGGGACGGGCACCCTTAGGTATATACATACATATAAGTAGAGCAACAATTCTACGTGCACGAAAATAAACTGCACAGTGCACGTACGCGAGCTAAAGGTGAGTTCACGCCATCTGACGTATGCACAACTTTTCTCTTTCCCATCGATTTCGCGCGCATGCGGATAAACGCATGCGGACGACCATGTGACTGCCACTCGACAGCCTCGTAATTAAGCGCAGGCGGCCCGCAGAAAATTTTTTTTTACATACTCCTTAACGTAAAACATTACTTGTTTCATTATTATTCCATGTTCGCACACGGTTATTAAAATTATTTTGCTTTAATAAAAAGTATCCTTCTTCCTTCGCGAAATGTTATTTCATAAAATGAATTATCCGAAGTAAAACTTTTAACCGTATACTGTTTCGATCTCGACATATCTAAAAATTTAAATTATACGCTTCGTACCAATATTTATTAAATAATACGCGACACATTTGCAAGTGTTTGTACAATTTTGCCTTATTAAAATAATATCGACTTTTATAATTGTTATTCTTAAACATACAACACGTCGTACAAGTTGATTTGAGACGCGCAAAATTTATCGATCCTATTTCCATAAGAAGATGATGTAATTTCCATATTTTATCGTTCATTAAATCGAGAGGAATCAATTATTCCATGTCGTCTAATTATGTTCCCCCGCTGGAGTTGTGGGTCTGACGGCACCACATATTTTGGCAAGTGTTTGTGCCAAAGCGCCACTGCGCAATCCCACGGTTCCGCGGACGATCATCAGCGACGCCGACGGGAGGGATATCGGTTCCCGCTGTTGCGTAGTAAGTGAAGTTATATAGGGGTGTGCGGAAGAGTTGACGCGCGTGTTCGTCCGAAGGAAGAGCTCTCGTAAGAAACGGCATGATGCTCAGCGGTACCGGTTCACCCTTGTACGCGTGGCGCACGTCCGTGATCGTTTCAGGCGAACTTAGAACTAAGTGTATCAGCAGTGACAATGCGTTGTGATCTTAGTTGTCGTTGTACGAAAAAGTCGAGGCCGTCGTCGTCGCCGTCGCCGCCGCCCGCGCCGTCGCCGACGTCGTCGTCGTCGTCGTCGTCGTTGCCGTCGTCGCTGCCGCCGTCGTCGCCGTCGCCGTCGTCACCGGACGCGCGTTGTCGCTTACCTCGATATTGGGCACCGGTATCCCAACACGGTCCGTCGTGGGATGGCAGCGGCCCTAAAGAAAAATCACTCACGTAGAAGATTGGCCGCCCTCACGTTCCTCTCCAACATCTCCCTCGACGGCAGCCACCGGGACACCAAGTTCGCCGTCCTGTCACGCGGTGGACCGACTCACGCACGCAGGCCTAGCAGCGATGGCCAGTCAGACCAGCAGCAGCAGCAGCAGCAGCAGCAGCAGGCGGTGCTGGAGGAGGTGTGCCGGAGCGCCGACCTCGTCGCCTCCATGGAGGAGATGCTAGACGGGGGCTGTCCACGGCAGGAGACGCACGATTCCCCCCGGAACGAGACGCTAGAGCAGAACAACTCGCCGCAGCCGGTGCACAAGAGCACCGACCACAACTCCTTCAGTTCCGATTCGGATGGACTGCTCACTCCCGCCAAGGCAGCGGTTACCATGTTCTTGGAGCAGGAGAGAAGTCACTTGCAGTTCTCTTGCGGCATGCACAGTTCGTTTAGAGAACGGTAAATTTGTTTACTCGTCCGACCCGAGGCTCGCTCAAGTTAATGTCATGATCTCTTGTTACGCTGCTCCGAGCGAGCTATCAGCAATGTACGAAAATACAGAAACAGCATGATTTGTCAAGGTGATGTGCGATAGGAGGATAACAATCCGCTCCAGATCCATAAACAGCCGAATGAAAAACGCCGAGTTAAATACATAAATTATATTTAACAGCCTTGTTGTCTGTACAAGATAATCTTAAAAGCATCTGAAAACTAATTTCCTTTAGAATTATTTTTCCTCTAAATAAGATATTGCTTATCACAAGTAAATTAATAATACATTTTTTTTATCTTATCTTTTAAGCCTTTGTTTCAGAAATAGGCCGTGATAGCCTATGATAATAGAACTGATTGAACTTGCAAAGTAAACAACAATATGTACATCAGTTTAGATTCTCATCGCTAAATTGATTGTGAAAGTTTTAATACGAATGATCTTAAATTAAAATTTATATATATTCTATGGTAAAATAATTTATTAGACTACAAGTAGCAGACGATAATTTGGCCGCGCGTATATGTATCTCATAAATGTTTCAAATATTCTAAATTATAAATAAATATATCAAATACCTTAAACATCCTTTCGATAACAGAAATTGTTGGTAATTAAACGCGCATGAAAATCTCTGCGCTATAATATTCTATCTCAAAGACTGTCTTGCTACAGATAGGATTGAATGACACTTAATGGATTCAGATAACACTATCAAAAGCGTCTACAGTATCACAAACAAAAACATCGTGAAACTTGATTGCATTCCTTTCACATTGCTTGCATATCTGGTGTATAATTCATTTATGTACTGTGTATATACATTTATGTATAATAATGATTTTTTTTTATTTAGCTATGATTTCTTAACGAATTTAGAAAGATGGTATTAAAAATACCTACATAAAAATATAGATACCTGAACTTTGTTTAATAAGAAATTAAAATTTAGTATTTCTTAATTAAATTTTAGACAAACAAGACATGTGATCTTATTTTTCATTTTATTTTAACATAAGATTTTGTTTCATAGAACGCCAGTTTATGAATTAGGCGTAAAAATATTCAACAAGAAATGAAACCATTATTAAATTAATTTCTTCAATATCAAATTGTCTCAAATTTGATAAAAAAAGAGAGAATGATATCATAAATTCTTTTGAAATAATAATATTCTATATGTACTTGCGTATTTTAATGTTTTATTTAATATAATATTCTTAGAACGGGAACTACCGGAAGCGACTATTCCTTACCAGAAAGACGTGTGGGCTCTCTACAATACAAGAAGCGCATAAGTCATCAAACATCTACGCTTTCGGAAGATATTAAGCATCAGTACAATAGTAGCAACGAAAGCATTGGCTCCGTACATTCGAAAGCACAATCGTCAAAACCAAAGACAAAGGCAGTGAACAATGTGCAACCTGTTTCTACAAATAGTAGCATAATACCAGAAATTACAAAAGAATTGCGTTTGATGCAACGGCCTGTGAATGGCTGTAAATTTGGGGACGATAGAATGGTTTTGGTGTCGAACCAACATGTGCCATTTGTAATATTTTCTGCTATTCCATACAATAAAGGACAACGTTCCAGCTGGTAAGGCTGTTGTGTTGATATAAAAATATTTAATTTGTACATAAATTATTTAAAAAAAAAAAAGGATATACTTTAACTTAACTTTTAACTTAACTTATTTAATTTTTTGAATTAACGTTTCAATATAATAACTTGTACTCTAATGAAATTATATTTTAACATGATTACAGGTCAGAATTACGTAAAGATACATGTCGAAGGAAAAATGTGTCATCTCAAAGACCATTATCGGCAATTAATGATAATATTGATCCGTTTGGATTGCTGGGTATAGAGCATGCTAAGGATGGCCAAGTATTAAAGATTTTTTTACTTCTTTGATTCCAATTCTAAAACACGAATAATGTGCTCAATTATCAATTAATTTTATAGGAAATATCCTATGGGCAACTACTTGTACCATCTCGGCAATTCCAAAGAGATAAAAAATTGAATCTAAATGAGAACGAACCTATGGAACTTACGCATTTTATACCTAATAAACATCATGTGGTACAAAGGTATAGCAACAAATTATGTTTATTAGAATAACTTATTTCTACTATGTTTAATTTGACATCACACAGTTCATGTAATTGTATCGTGTATATACACAATATATATGCACACATACACATTTCTACACACACGCATACAAATTGTATATGTTTATATTATTTTTTTTTATATTTTTATTTATGTATCCTACACATAGTCTTTACTTAAGATTTAGATAAGAGTTAAAAGAAATCATTAGACAATGAACTCTCTTCAACTTTCTTCAGTATATAAGATGTCTAGCTTTTGTGATATCTGCTCTAAAATTAACAAGCTAATTTTTTTCCTTCAAATACAGATTTATTAATAGTGTGAAACAAACATTGAGAAAAAATTTACTATTTGTGAAAGAATTTCTTATCTTAGCAATCATTTCGTAATCTAATAATTCAGTTTGTAATTTAATAATTCATAGCTACAATATTAGCTAGGCATCTTTTTAATCTCTTTCAATCATAGGTAATACATACATGGATTCACATATCATATATTTGTTTTTATAAAAAACATCAACCATCTTTTTGCAGGACAAAAACAATTACTTGGAATGTGGATCACAAAAAATGGTAAAAATTATTGTACAATATATGTGTAATGAGCTATAGAAATGTTAGATAGATTTATGTGCATACAGATACAAGGGTCTACAACAAGTATGTTTCTTAAAATTTTGTTATTCTATTAATTCTGCAAAAGATGTGTTGTAAAAATTACTCATTAGATCATCCATAATCATTTTATAATATCTATACTGGTAATGTTGATATATTGCATTTTATAAATAAGATATATATGTATATTTTTATATGAAAATACAATTTTATATTTTATATTAAATACAATTATAATTTTTCTATTAAATTTTCATATATTTCGGGAGAAATAAATATTTTATATAAAATCATATTTATTTCTTTCACTGAAACATATAAAGATTTAATAGAATAAATTCTATTTAATACAGAAAATACATAAAATTTTTTTATTGTAAAACTTACTGTACTAAAATTATATTGAAAGTATATTCACATTGTTCATTTTTAATACATGTATATATATCTATCATGTAAAAATTGCACGCATACATATTTTTATAAAATTCACTACAATATTTCATGACTGTATACACATTGCAGAATAATTTCATTATATTTTTGCAATAATATATCTGAAGAAAAACTTGCTATTTTTAAGCATTTTAAAATTATATAAATGTATTATTATATGCATGTATTCGTATATGTATTTATTATATTTTTTACATGTTTAAATAATATTCCAGAAACCTCTCGTATGCTTTTTAAAATATTAAATTATTAAATCTTTTATAAATTTAAAATCAATTTTTTGTTAACGAGAATTGATCAAAGAGACTGTTATTGTTAAAATATAAAAAATTCCAAATTTTTATTATTTATAATCCATTAAAATAAAATTCTTTCAAATGTAACAATCTATTAAAATCATATTCTCAAATGTAATAATTTTTATTAATAATATTCTTTTACTTATGATTTTCTCACAGAAGCTAAGAATCTTTACAGCATTCTCAGTATTTTTCCTTTAATTCTATCGTTTATTTAATGAGAAAAATGCAATTCTGGAATACATTAAATATTGCATGCCATATAATGAAATAATTAGATAATACATTTTATAATGCATTCTTTTTTTTATTTTAGGTGTCTTTCTTATGATACAGCTACAAATCGTGCTCATTACATAACTTCCGAGTCTCCACCATTGTCTTTTAGTGCTGATTCTAAAGGTAAATACAAAAAAAAATAGAATTAAAATTTTTTTATCAGATTGATATGCAATATATTAATATATGTAATTATTTTACTGCATATTGTTACAGTTTATGATTGGGATGAACAATCTACCCAATATAATCCAAATTTATTGGATGATCCAGAACTTATTGCCGGAAAACATAGAACGTTACTAACATTTACATCATATATGGTATGAATATCTTAATTCTGTATGTTTTAATTGTGATTTTAAGAGAGAATTTTTATACAACTCAATATTTTACAATCATATATAGGCATCTGTAATTGATTACGTAAGGCCTTCCGATTTAAAGAAAGAATTAAATGATAAATTCAAAGAAAAGTTTCCACATATTCAACTCACTCTCAGTAAACTTCGCAGGTAGGTTTACCTATATATAATTTATAATCTCAATTCTTGTGCTGCTATTATCTTACAAGTCTTTTTTTTTTCAGCTTAAAACGAGAAATGAGAAAAATAGCTAAATTAGAATACGGTATTGATTTACTCACTGTCGCAATGGCCTATGTATATTTTGAGAAACTTATTCTTCGAAATATCGTGACGAAGCAGACACGGAAGTTATGTGCTGGCGCTTGTTTGCTCCTCGCAGCGAAATTGAATGACGTGAAGGGCGATATTCTTAAATCCCTCATCGAGGTACTTTTATCTTGTAATACGTAGTATAATAAAGTTTTTACACAATAATTATAATTACTGTTTGTTTACAGAGAATTGAGGGTGTATTCCGATTAAATCGCAAGGACTTAATTACGTCTGAGTTTGCCGTGTTGGTAGCTTTAGAATTTGGTTTGCATTTGCCAACATGGGAAATATTTCCTCATTATCAGCGACTAATTTATGAATCCTGACATCCTTTCGTATCGTTCTTTTTATGCAATTTCAAAGCCTCTTTGTGAGAAAATCTCGGAACGGTAAAAGCATATCCGTAATAAATAATCTTATTGTCTGAAAATCGTATAAATAAGTTAAAGCATTACTGCATGTTCGACATACATTTTCTTTCCGCTACTTCGACTTAACAGTTTTGACTTATTCACTTGTGTATGGTTTCATGTAAAGAGCCATATAATAAGTAATTACGATTAAGAGATTAATGAGAATATAAGTTTTTGATTGTAATCATTTCTTCTTGCAAGTTACCAATGTAGTAGTTACTGCATGCTGTGAATATTTTATTATTTGAATAATTTTAATTGTCTGTTTGGGATATACATATATCAGTAAATGGATAATGTTAAAAAGTATTTCCGTTTAATACATATTAGCATATTATTAAAATGTTTGTTTTATAAAATGTAAATGTTATATAGTTATGGAAGAGAGAGAAATTTATGAAATATAACTCTTGAATATTGTCTTATAAAAGATATTATGTCAGAGTGGTTTTGTGATATGCAATTTTTTTTAGATAAGATAAATACATATATGATTAAGTTTAAAAAAATGAATTTGTTTTAACAATTGCACTTTTTTATACATTTCACCGTTTTTCTGTATCAAAATATGTACATATATAGTCGTAATCAATTAAATAATAGAAATAATATATAGCAAGAGAAAGATGTACTTCAAACAAACTGCTTAAATAATCCTTTTGTTTGAAATAAAAAATGTATTAAATAAAAATGTTTCTTTGGAGAAGAATATCAAGCAATTTTTTTCTTTCAAATAAAAACAGTTTTTATCTTAAACATTTTTGAATTATAAAAATTATTTCGTTGATTTGTCTTTAAGTGTATCTTTCTGTTCTTTTCTCTGTATGATATCATTATACATACCACAAAACTACTGTTCTTTTTATTTAAAAAAATTGTTTAGATTTTCACCAAAAAAATTTGTTTTTAATGTTATAAAATTGCTATGTGTACGAAATAATAAAAGCTTGGTATTTCTTACTAATGTAACAGAATATAAAATTAAATATAAAATTATGGACACACACACACACACACACATACACACACAAAAGAAAAGCTTAAGAGAGGATTTCTTACAAATCTTAACGTGATAGTTAAAACTTAAAATAAGATGTTATGTACTTATATGGCAGCAAATAATCAGATTAAAAATAGATATATTATGCAATGATTACATGTTTTTTGTTGAACTAATATTAATATTAATGATGCTACAGTAGAAATATTATCCATTTATAACAATGAGTATATTTATAATAATACAAAATTTTTATTATATGGCTTGCATGGAAAAAAGGTCTTCGTAAACATTTACTCAAAGTCATATACGTGTAAACATCATATGTATTCGATATACATTCAATTTTTTCGTCTCTATAATTTAATATCACAAAAATATATATATTATACATTCATGGTATAAACAAAAATATTCTGGTAAAAGTTACACTTCAAGTTTATAATTCACATTAATTAATATATTCTTCTAACTTTTAAATAATCCATATAGTGATCAAGAGTATATCATAAGTTATTATTGGAACATGAGTGTCTTGCTTTGAAATCTTATTTGTTTTGTAATATAGAAGTAAATTGTTTTTAATTTATATATATATTATATATATATATATATATATATAATTAGATACATATTTTATTATAAGTATAATATATATTATAATATATATTTATAATATATATTGTAATATATATTTTATTATAACACTAATCAATATATATATTTTTTTTATTTAGTATCGACTTTCCCATTTTCTTCGTTTTAATCATTGATATATCGTGTAAATAATCGCGGAAGTTGAATGTAATAAAAATAATCTCTTATAGCGTTATATAAAAAGAAGCGATATTCTATATTACATATATATATATATTTTATCACTTTATTGTATTTTTAAGCTCAGCCATATTCCTTTTAGATAATGCTAATATATTACAGATATATTTTAAATTGAACGTATAGATATATCCTTTATTTTTAGAATGATATTAGAAAACGTATGAGATGCGTGTCTTTCTGAAGTGTATCTTTAATGAAGATTCGTGACACAATTTCCTTACAAACCGAATTAAACATACTTTATTTAATCTTAATGTATAGTTCTATTTATGCTTTATATAGTATGTGAGATGTTTTCATTATACTGTCATATTATATATGCAAGTCAATATAAGACTTTAACAACATTTATTTAAACTGAGTTATAGAATATATGCTCTGTGCTCAATTGTATTTATCTATAGAATGGACTTCCCGCTCAATTTTTACATATTTATACATATAGAAAGCATTTTTGTAGCCCTTTGTTCTTACAGGACTTCATACTTCAATTTCATATATAAAACTATTCAATAGAATACAAGTGTTTTAAAATTAAAGTAAAATTGTATATTGGCTTGTATTTTAGAAATAAAATAGAAACTAGAGGAAGTAATGGTCAATAAAACGAGTAAAAATGTGGCAATATAATTATACAATTTTATTTAATAATATTATTAAAGCGATTCTTGTCTGGCGTGAATTCATAGTGTCTAATAATGTTTAAAATTGAGGTCGCTGTTTGAAGCTATCATTATTCAGCTTTTCGTTTGGAAGTTTCAACTTCACACAGTAGGAGCTTATATACATATAATATTGGCACTATAAACTCGCACAAGAATCGCTTTATTATTGAATACAATTATGTAATTGTATTGCAATATCTTTGCTCGTTTTTTATTGGTTTTATTTCCTCTTTATTTCTGCTGTAGAACTAAAAATAGTTATTTTGTGTTACATTATCAATTTTATTACTGTGTTTATTTTCTTACCAACTGTTAAGATATTTTGAGAAAATGATATTTGTTTGTAACAAGAAATTATAAGGATGCGAAAAATGCAAGATACTCTCACATATTTTATACATGTACATACATGTGCATACAGTATATATACAGTATTTGTACAGTCAGTTTCATATAACTGAAAAAAAAAATTGTACCCTTTAGCATCTCATTCTTGTAACATCAACACAAATTTTTGTAAGTAATTGAGTAAGTGCTAGAAAGCATTTGAGGTAATAATAGTGAAAAGGAATTCATTAGCTTGAACATAAGGAGGCAAAGAGTATGTAAAGAAATATTTGGTCTACATTTCTATCTTGTTTAGAACAAAATATGGCCGTCTGATTCGAAGCTTTAGTTTGTGCACGAGATAATCATCATTGATATCACAAGCCGAGAGTCATATAGCCATATCTGGTCCTAAACCTTTGGTGAATACAGACTTAGAATATAAAATGTGTTTGAAAATATGGTAGCCTTAAAAATAATTAGTTTCTATGTAAACTTCTACAATGATATCACTTTATCCATTTAATGTCATAAGATAATATAATATCTCACTAGCCGATTAAGTCACTTGTTATCAAAAAATATCTCCTATAGAAATTGCAGTTTTTAAACATAGAAGTTTCATATTTTCATAAGCGAATTTCACATATGATATTTATCCCTAATAGATAATCATTCTTTGTTTTTATATACATATATATCGCAGTGTTCTCCGATTTCTAAGCGCCAACTTTAGGTATCAAGATCATAATTCGTCGAACTAAATTACACACACACACACACATACACACACATATATATATATAATGTTCTATTACGCATTTTCTCTGAACAAATTTATGATATAAAATATCTTAGGCTTTTTAGATCTCCTGCAAAGTTCCATTCAATTCCCTGTAAATTTAATTGCATTTAAAAATTCCAATTTTTAGTCTTATAACTATAAAATTATTGAAAATGATTAATAATTTGGCAGTAAAGTTAGTGACAATTGAGAGAAAATGTGCGATGTTACAAATGCAATAAATACATGTACACAAACACACACACCAAAATACTTCCATTCTAGGAGACACGTCTGAAATAAATGGTAAAAAATTGTCTAATATATAGTAAAAAATATGTCTAATATATAGCAGTGTGTCAATTATAACAAAATATATTCACAAAAGTGTACACATACATTTAATCCGCAGGATAGTGTGAATCCTTTAGAACAAAAAAATTTTCTTTTTTATAGTTTATGATTCACGATACTATGTCAATAATGTATCCCAATGAAATATACGTGTGTATGTTAAATTGACTATTAATTTTCAGCTTTGCCTTAGAATTTAATTTTAAACACACACACACATTAAATTATTTTACTCTGTGTTAGTCCCATAAATATTGGTCAACATTAATTTTAATTAACTCATTATAATATTCCTTTTTTTCTTATTAAATAAAACTATTAGAAGAACAGGTGTGTTATTAACAGAATTATATTTTTCAATTTTACTTACAAGAATTATTTATTTACTTACATCAGGATATCTTTCTGATGGAGTCCTTTAATTTGGAATCCTTCCATAATAAAAATACTTAAAAAATATAATAAATATTTATATTTCGTATGTTCCGCTCCAGAGCCTCGTGTCCACGATAACTAGACTCGGCCGAGAGCTGTGTAGCCAATCAACGTGCAGCTTTTACGGAAAAGCAGTAATCTTACTTAACTATGCATCGAGATCCGAGAACTTGGATCGATTTCTAGTAGCGTGGACACATGGCTTTAAGGAAAAATTAATTACACGAGATTCGTTCATGCTGCTTGCATTTCAAGTCTTCTTCGCTTTCTTTATCTCTCCCGAATATACAATATTTGTCTCGTTTGAGAGCGCAAAAGTGGGGGAGCAATGCGAATCATAATTGACACTCACGGGTTCAAAGTCACTAGACGCACACGCGCTTTACCAGAGAGGAGGATCCTCTCTGGCTTTACCACCCTGACTGCCGTTGGTTATTGCGCAATGCGCAACTGTTGCAAAACACGCGCCACGTGTATCCGGTGCAACACCTCGTGCACCTCTTGAATTACGCGGATAATTGCGGTGCAATTGATATATTGACAACCGCACCGAGAAACAGGCATACAGGCGTCCATGATTATTGTGTGTGTCTCTCTCTCTCTCGGTCCACATCGTCCGTCGATCAATCGTGCCGCAACTGCCACGCGTGTGGCGGCGTCTTCTTTTACCGTTTCCCGACGAGGCGCACTTTGAATCGGGCCAATTGCGCTTTTCCTAGGGCAACAGCCACCCCGTGATTGGTCTGGTAAGAGTAATAATAAGTAATAAAAGACACTATCGCGTCAATTGTCGTCTGTTGGTACACAAACACAAGACCGTAGGAATGCGGTATGCCGGGTCGGTGTGTGACTGTGACCGCGCGGTGTTTCCTACTACCATTCGGCATTCACTAGCTGCGTTTGAACTTGTACCAGTGGCGTCTATCAACGTGTCTCTCGTATTATTCCCAACTGTAGAGAGTTCCCGAATTCTCGCGCGTGTAGATCCAGACGTAGATCGTGACGGGACAATCGGCTTGAGGCTCTCGTCGCGGAAATACCGGTGAGTACAGGGGTATGCGTTAGTAGGAGGATTCCCGTTTAACGGTCAATCCCAATACGCATAAGGCGAAATTGGATAAGCGTGAGATGAATGAAAACGGAGATGAGCACTGATCTCGCTGCCTGTATGGACGGCGTGCAGCAAGCGTGATCAAAAATTCAGACGCCAAGGCTGTCTGAAAGCAGTCTCGAAGGCCGTCTCGAAGAGACCGTGAAAACGAATGTAGAATCGAAAAATTGTCAATTAAAAATTAAATAGGTCTGTACATTTTTTGCACTCATAGATTTTGCTTGTTCTCCTCTCTCTCTTTCTCTCTCTCGAACGTTCGAATATGTGAGGCCTGTTCCTTATAGCTGAACTAGTTCAGAGTTTATTTTCCTTCTTCCAGTGTAGAAAGAGAATGGATAAATTAGTGAACTAGTACGGCCAGGTCAGCTATAAAGATAACAGGCCTACAATATTTGTCTCGATTGAAAATTTAATACAAAGACGTGTCTTTGACCGAGACAAGTATCGAATTTTGTCAACGTCTAGAAACTGAAGTAATGATATCCGATCCGAAATTCTTTCGAGTCCTCTTTTTTTTTTGCAGCATACAGAATTGTAAATATTTTATTGCTGAGTGTATATAAATTCCTGACATTGCGAAGCCTCTGATTTGTGTTTGTGAAACAGATATGTGGTGTGTGTATGTGTGGTATGTTGACGCCCGCGCGCGCGCGCGTACACACACACACACAGACACAAATGATACATAATCGCAGGCAATAAGGGATAAGGTTTCACAATTCACGGTTAACTTGATTTAACCGAAATTCAATTTGCTTTATCTCTTTCTAATTTTTGAATTAGAAACAGATAAACGGTAAGTTAAACCGAGTTTAAAGTTAATTTTATATTTGTGCAGCCAGGCCTATAAGGGTACGTTTATCTTGTGACAAATTTTTCAAGCTTTTGTCTTGCTATATATTAAATTAAAGTTTGAATATTCGAGAACTTTTCTGCAGCCAATTAACACACTTAAATAATTTGTATGACAAATGTAATAGCCTACAATAATACATCAGGCATATCATAAAATAGAACATACTTATCTGAATATATTAAATATGGAAATATTGGGAACATATATGGTATTTTATGAAAACATGAAATATTGAATTGAATAATAAGATTATAAATTCTATCAAATAGCATATTGCAAAACTAAATATCTTAATTTTCAGTAACTAAATCATAATCACAAATTATTTTCTGTGTAACCATTATGTAATGTTACGTAGTAATGTCTTCTTGCAATTCTCAATAATGACAGAGATGTTGAAATTGGCGTAAAATTGAGAAAATATTTTCTCAAATATATTTTGAGCATGTATTAGAAGAATGGATTTTGATCAAAATTATTTCATTATCTCTAAAAAAAAATATAATTGATATTTAGATAATAACATATAATTGAGCAATTCTGATTTGGAATCCAGACAATTCCAAGATACGTGCCTAGCTTAGTTTAAATCAGAATTCATAAATTGGAGAAATTATTTTTCAGAAACAGTCAACTTCAATAGTTTCCTGTTTTTATCGTTAAACCAAAATGTCCAAGCGAGATAGAGAGAGAAGTTATGATAACTCAGAACCATCAACCAGTAGTGGACATCGCAAGAAGAAACCTTATGACAGGAGCGATTCGGCAAGTAGCATGTGTGATACCAGGAAAAATAAATGAGTGCTTTTTTGGAAACATTAAATTTAAAAAAACTATGTTACAGGAAATAAAATAAACTTATGAAATAGCTTATTACAATATAATTTTTTCTTGTTTTATTTACACTTTATTAAATATTAATAAATTGGAAAGTAATTACAAAAGAATAAATCAAATATCACGAATAGAATGAATCTGTATGAGCTGCCGCAATTCTAGGTGCGTGAAACGATAAAACAAAGAGTCCAATTGCTCAACAATTCATACAGAATGCAGCTGTATGAATTACATATTTAATAAACGTTTTACAATGTGCATAGTATGTACTTGCTTAACAATACAGAATGCAACAGTATGAATTGTTAAGCAAGTACACTATTTGCACATATAATATGTTTTATTAATTATTGATTCACACCTACAATTGCAGTGGCTGACATAGGCATTTTATTCGTGATATTTGATTTATTAAATATTCAAAATCAACTATTTTTTCTTGTTTTTTTAAAGAATTTTTTATTTAATTAATTTTTATCCTTGTAAATAAAATTACAACATAGAATTGTATTTTATATTACATTATTTTACATATAATTTAATTGAATACATTGTTTTTTATACAGGAGCGTTTTGAAAGAAAAGAATTAATAAAGGTTTATATAATTTTGTTTTTTATATTATATAAAATATATGCATGTATATAGAAGCTAGTTGGTTTTTTTTTAACAAGAAATTTAGATTTATTAACGCATATCTTAGTGAAAAATGACCGTCAATTATACGTTAAATCCATATTGAATTGATGTCGACGTCAATTTGATGTGATGAGTTATTTCTTTCTGAGGTATAAATAACATTTAAAAATTTATGAGAATATAATAATGTTATTAAAAATTTTAAAGAAACTTTATAAGATTTTATAAGATATAAGTTTAAAAACTTTAAAAATTTATAAGAATATAATGTTATTTTTTATTGTGACAGACTGTCAGCGAGGATGATTATTTTGCAGCAAGTACATCTTCATCTTCAAGAAATGTGCCGATGGTTGAACCAAGTAAGTTTATAATAGAAATATTTTTATTATATTTTCATCATTTAAATCATTTTTTAATTATTTTATAATTAATAGAATTTTGTATTTTTAATTAAAAACCATAGAAAATTCAAAATTTTGTATTAAAAAAAAATGAAATGAAAAATATAAATATATTTAAATAAATATAAAAAATATATTTAAATAAATATAAAAATATATATAAATATATATTTAAATTAACCAAAGTTTTTTATGTATTATAAAATTACAGGTAAAATTAAAACTGAAATCAAAACTGAAATTGACGAAAGTGAAAATGCCGGATCAACACAAGGGACACGTAGTCGACGTAAGATGGAACCTATTTTTGTTTCTAGGCCAAGTACCTTGGTAGATAAAAAAGGTCAGTAAAATTTATATTATGCTTGTATAACATATATATTACAATTTAGATAAATATGCTGAAAAGTGCAACATGATTCATTTTTATAATATTTAATTTCTATCAATTTACAGGCAAAATAGGGGCTGAAGTAAATCTAGAGTCAAATCACTTTAAATTAATGACAGTACCCAATTGGTGTCTTTATCAGTATCGGGTTGATTTCGTACCTGAAGAAGATCGTACGTTTGTCCGTAAAGGCATGCTTAGATTGCATAAAGAGAAAGTTGGTCCGCATATCTTTGATGGAACTCTGTTGTATACAAATACCCGTTTACCAGATGTAAATATATCAGTACACTGTTAATACTGCTCTGTACAAACAGAGACGCGTGGCTAAATGTTTTTAAATACGTGATATGAAAAAATTTTCAGAAAATGGAATTTCTTACAATGAGAAAATGCGACAATACACCCGTCAATATTACTATATGTTTAGTTGGTACTTTGTCGCCGGAGGATCCGCATTATAGCGTCATTTTCAATATAATAATGAGAAAGACCTTGGAATATTTACAATTACAACTGGTGGGCCGTGACTTTTATGACGCTAAGAATAAAGTTAGTAAAAAAATTATGGGAACATATTTTCTTCGTTTCATTAAATAAAAAATTTAATAATTCTAATAATTATTTTATGTAGAGTGTTGTACATCAACATAGATTGGAATTGTGGCCTGGCTATATTACAGTCATTAAACAACATGAATACAATATTCTAATGTGCGTCGAAATAACGCATAAAGTAATGCATCAAGAAACATTGTTGCATGTATTGAGGAAGTGCTACGACAGACGTAGGCATGATTATAAGGTATGTGTTATTATTAGTTTTTATTTGTACATTTTTTATTTTTGTTTCTTGATAGTTTTATATATGTATTAAAAAAATTATATTTACAAAATTTAAATTCAAGACTGAAACAACTGAAAAGTTTAGAAAGATTTATATAAATAAGTACATTTTTTTCAAGTACATTTATATTGTCTTTAAATTATGAGCAATTAAAAATGTTTTCTACACTTATTACTTTTACATAATAAAATAAAAAATAAAATAACATTAAAAATTCCTTAAGTTTCCTTTATTTTTACGTATTTGATCAATTTTTAAAAATCTTTGAAATTTAATTTAAAAATTTTTATTTAAAAATGGTACTTGTTATAGATTAAATGTTGGTGTGCATTATTTTACACTTTTATTTTAAAAATAACAAGAATCATACATACATTTTTAGGCCGATTTTTGTAACAGCGTAATTGGAATTATGGTACTTACGGATTACAATAACCATACATATCGTATTGAAGACGTGGATTTTGATACGAGTCCTTCCTCGACATTTCCCATGAAAAATGGTCAACATGTATCTTATCAAGACTACTACAGGAATAAATATAAGATTGCAATATCAGATGCTTCGCAACCAATGTTAGTAACAAGATCAAAGCCAAAACAACGAAATGCAGGTCAGGGAGATCTTGTTTATCTAGTCCCCGAATTGTGTCGCGCTACAGGTATGTATTATGTTTGATGAATGTATAAATTTTTTTTATCTAAATAAAAATATTAATTCTCATGCTTTTTATATAAATTTTTGTGTATAGATAAATTCTGTACCGATGGAACTTCTTACAGGTTTAAATGACAGCATGAGGGAGAATTTTCAGCTTATGAAAGCATTATCCGCGCATACTTGCATTGGACCTGACTCCCGTATTGACAAACTGATGAAATTTAATAATAGACTTCGTCAAGAGCCAAAAGTCGTGCAAGAGTTTAAAGATTGGAATATGACATTAGACAGAAATTTACTTCGATTTAAGGGTCGTGTATTGCAGCCCGAGAGACTTTTATTCGCCGAGAGTAAAGTTACCCCTTCTGGGGTAGGAGACTGGGGAAGGGACATGCAAAGAATGCGTTTACTACATTGTAAAGAGTTGAAAAACTGGACACTAGTGGCAAATGGACGCGACCAATATAGTGTAGAGGTGAATAATTTTCATTAAATAGATATAAATATTATCGAACAAGACACATAATATTGGAATAAAATTAATTCTGCATATACAGTTGTATATATATTGTTGCGCACCCGCGCTTCTTCATCGTAGGGTTTAAGTTTGTACTCTCAACTTTCCCTCGCGAAATCGCGAGCGTTACTGCAAAACTCGGCCACGTAACCGTCGCCGAGTGAACCACTATCGATATTTAACACGTTTTCGGAAAGACTTTGGATTTTGATTCTGCGTCTGTTTCTCGTCGCGTTGCTGCAGTATCGCCGCATATTCCGTATTTCTACGCGACTACTCCTTTAGCTGTCACACTTTTTGTATCACGACTCGGAAGAAAGTTCTAGCGTCTTGATTCGTGCCTTTTTTCCTCCATCTATCTCCGAAGGAGCCGTCGTTGAAGTAGCGACGCAGGAGACATTCGATATCCCGGACCAGTCTCAAATGTTGCGTTCGCGAGCCTCGCACTCATTCGCGTACTCCCGCACAGAAAATAATGACACTTTTAAGAACGTCTCACTCTCTTAATGTAACATACTTTTTGCAAAGAACGTTAGAAATTTGGAACATTTTCAAACGGAATCGCGACTCGACTTTTAATCGTTTTGTCTCCCATTTACACACAACATTCGCCGTCCGCAACTCTGTTTGCGATGCGGCTCGTTCTCGCTCTAACTTAAGGACCTGACTCGGCACGGGTGCAACAATATCTAAGTGTCTATGAGTCAATAACTTGAAAAAATATTCGCCGTATTAAAAAGTTGTTCATGGAAGTTTCATGCATTTTCGAAAGAGCTTTCTAACTACGTATATAAAAATTTGCCTTGGCTTTCCTTTTAGGGAGGAAAGAAAACTTCATATTCTTTGGATTCTACAGGAAAAAAAAATATATATAAACTTTATCTAGAATATTTCTTTCAAAATACTTTATCAAAAGTAAACATTTCAATTTTAAAATACAGTGCATTCAAACTAATGATAAAATCATAAATTTAACGCAAGCTTTATGTATTTTTCTCAAAGATCTTTATATTAACAAGAAAAAACAAATGTCTAGTACACGCGCTAACATGATCCTAAAAATGTTTAGAATTAAACAAAATTTTGCAGAAAAAATTAATAACTTTAAATGTGAATGGTTAACACTTTGAATATTTAATATTTAATAAAAACAGAAACTAATGAATTTTTTAATTCAATTTCTCATTCAAGGGGAGGAGCAATTCTGTGTATGTAATTAGCAGCTCCGCTTGAAACTTTCGCATGAACAATTTTTTGATACAAATATTTTTAGAGTTATTGGCTTGTAACATTTTACGTGAACTATCCAGTGTGCATATATGTATATATTACTCAAAATGTTTAATTAAAATTTTGCAGAGGTTTATACAAAAACTACAGCAGGTGTCATATCAAATATCATTCAGAATAAACAAGCCGAGCGTACAATGGTTAACACGCGAAGATAAGGCAAGCACGTATGTTGAGACTCTCGAGTACATTCTTAGTAAAAGTGTCCCGGAATTAGTATTCTGCGTAGTGAGCAATAATCGCAGCGATCGTTATGCAGCTATTAAGAAGAAATGCTGCATAGATAGACCTGTGCCGTCACAGGTTTTTCTACAAAAGAATTTAGATGGCAAAAATGCCATGAGCATCGCTACAAAGGTAGCGATTCAAATGAACTGCAAGTTGGGCGGAGCCCCTTGGACTGTCGAGAATTCGGTAAAGGGATTAATGGCTATTGGTTTTGATGTATGCCGTGACGCAACCACTAAGGGCAAAAATTATCGTAAGTATTTTTAAGTATTAGTTCGACGTTCCTATTTTAATATTCTGATAACAATTATGTCATATTACTTTAATTCTAATTTTCGTGTTCTTAAAATTTTATTCAAATATTTTAGTTATAAACTAAAGTAAAATGAAATAATTCTCGGTTTGCAATTACAGTGGCTATGGTGGCAACTGTTGACCAAAGATTGACGCGATACTTTAGCTTAATTGATTTGTACGAGGGGCATGAAAATCTTGGAGATCAACTCTGTGCGAGTATACATAAGGCTGTGATGGCTTACAAGAACTATAACAATGCTTTACCCATGCGTATAATTATCTATCGCGATGGTGTTAGCGATGGTCAGCTCCGTCAAGTTTACGAAAATGAAGTGCAAAAGCTGACGAGGAAGCTCGAGGAGATGTATTATGGACCAAATTTCAAGATGGCCTTTATCGTCGTGACCAAAAAAATTAACGTTCGACTTTTCGATAGGAACAATCGAGGAGGCAATCCTAAGATCGGTACAATTGTTGACGATGTTATAACGGATCCGCTTAAATATGACTTCTTCCTTGTATCGCAGCAGGTTAGACAAGGCACAATTTCGCCAACGTCGTACAACGTTATTTATGACAATACCGATTTAGATCCAACAACGATGCAAGCCACCACTTTCAAATTAACTCACGTATATTATAATTGTTCGAGCACCGTTCGCGTGCCAGCTCCTTGTCATTACGCGCACAAGTTGTCATTGTTAGTGGGTAAATTTATTCATAAGCCTCCAAATACCCAGCTGCAGAATCAACTGTATTTCTTGTAAGAAAAGTTACGTTTATTTTTTTTTTTCAGTATACATTATAAGATGTTTCGTTTTTCAACAAGAAAATGCTAACACATAATTTATGTTACACCGTATCATATTTGAGCTATGTATAATTGCAAATTTTTGAAAAATCACATACACTTTTTATTTGAATAATCAATTGTTACTTCTTTCTTGTTGAAAAAGCTGTATGACATCTACGGCTGAAACTTAAGATTAAGAAAAGTGGTTAAAGTGTGTTCATTTTATTTTTATATTTTCTATGTAAACCACTTATATATACTGTGCCAAACACTGTTCCAAGTATGTATTGTTATTAAGAATAATCCGCGAATAAAATAGTTATTATGAAATGCACACATTAATGTGTTATAAGTTCCAACTTTTTATATATACAATTTTTTTTTATTTTAATGTTTGGAATAGGGCTGTGCTTAGATTTGAAAAATATAATTTTAATCGAATACGGATAATCGAAAATACATTTTAATAGTATTGAAAGTTTCAGATTACCAGTGTATGATTTCAAAACGTTAAGGTAAACGTACCAGTGACTGAACGTGTATCTATAGCTAAACAAGTACACAAAACAAACACAAAAACTCATTTTTTAATGCTTTTTTTTCCATATTATAATTTAATTATTATCTTTAAATATTTTTACATTAAATTTTGATATAATAAAAAAAGCACTTGAGATTAATAAATTTTGTGTACGTGTTCAGATATGTGTTCAGTCACTGATACGTTTACCTTGTTGTCTATGTCAGATGTTACCAGAAGCTTTTGTTTATCGTATATATATGTATATCATACTACAAAGTATTTTTTGACGATATTTTTAAAACACTACTTTTAATGCACGCGCACCAAAACGTACATATTTCTTACAAGGTAATAGAATAATGCTCTCTTGTTAATATTAATAAGATTTAGAAATAAGAAGTTTGCATATCATAATATTTGATCTAGAATCTTATTTAGTTTTATGCAATTTTATTAAATGACATGGCTATTCTCAAATTGACAGTTGCTAATATTTCTAATCATTTCAGCTATTTGCTAAAATAACATGATTTTTTTTTTATTTTATGATATCAGTGATGTAATTTCAGTTTGTTTCATACAATTGTCCATCGTAAACTTAATATATGATTATTTTAGCATGTGTTTTTATCTCCGTTTTCTGTCATATGGCGTAATATAAATGTTTGTATGTGGTCAGCAATATTAAAATTTGTTTAATTAAATGGTGCTAAAATGTTATACAGTACTGTGCTATGTCAATTATATTATATCACGTCTATGTGTATAATATTCGAATGTTTCGAATGTATTTCGTGGGTGTTATTTCAATTAAGTAATTCAGGGAACAATGTGAACTTGTTAAACGGAAAGTACTTTCTTACAAATATAATAAATATATGTATTAAGATTGAATCGGACTTATTCTTTTTACTGATAATTAACTTAGTATAATAATATAATTGTTTCTAAAAATATAACTAATTTATTCCATATCAACCTGGGATAAGTTTGATCGAAAACAATTCGGAAAATTAAAAATTGAAGTAGAAGGATAATTTCGTTTTTTTTTAAGTCAGATTAGAAATTCAATTTTTAATTCTTATTAAATGAAATATTAATTCTTTAATTCAAAATACACAATCACATGATACAAATTGCGCTTTGATTTCTGTAATTTTGTAAGTTTGAATTTGTGTAAGTATTAGTCCGAGACGCGCATGATTTTTCGCGTTTCGATTATGTTTAACATGAATATATCTTTTGTTCCCAAGGAGAATGATGTGTTCACAGAAGGTTACATAAAATTAGATTAGAAATAGACGGAGTTGCATGGCGGTGCGGAATCATGGAACTAGAAGAGTTCGCGAGTGTTCAGTTGGATAAACCATTACATGATGTGAGGGTACGTGTTACGCTGTATATTAAAATGGTCATTTCGCCTTTCCATTTTCACTTGCGCGCGCGTGTAAATTTTATCAGGGAGCCCTACATATTTATAATCAGCGTGTCCGAGAACTTTTCTCCGGTATTGATGTTTCAAACGAACATCCGTGCGATTCAATTTCACGCTTCGCCGGCCTCATTTAAATAATCCTTACTTAGAATGAAGAACAGTTGCGAAAGCACTCCTTGGATGCCAACTTGGAAAGGAGACCTATAGACAGGGCGCTTCATATCCTCACGTAAGTAAATTACGCGCTTTAAATTATCATTTAATTCCGATACCTATATGAAATTTCTATACGATCGAATGATTGATATTAATGTTTCCAAATGATCCCTTGCTAATTCAAGGATACAAGCTCTCACGGCATTTGTGTGACACATTTTTTTTAAACCGCTGTTTCTGCCGACAATCAGTTTCCTTTTGCTAAAAAAATTATTCGCTACAAGTTTCTACAATGTACTCGAGCTTGCACACTGCACGCGAGAGCTGCGTTTTACATGCAGTGTTCGGCGAATCGCGACCTGTTACAACCTTGATCGGAAATGCATAATTTGCCGGCGATTGCCGAAACAAGGTCGGCCACGGCGTTAATTAAATCTCGCATAAGCGCATGTTTCCAAGGTAGCGCGGATATTCTCTCGTAATGATGTATCCAGGCGATAATAAATTTACGATCTGTCTGCAGGCAAGCGTTGAATCTCTAGCTGCTATAATCTGCAAGAAATGATTGAAAGCTTTAGCTTAAATTAATTGTATGTCAGAGCCTTTAGTATATGGTTTTAAATTAAAATTAAATTAATTTAAATTATCAATAAATCTATATATAATTATAATATCTAGAGATCACACAAATAAAAACGTAAATATGATTCGTAACGAATAAAGACAAAAATTTGAAGTACGATTGCTTGCATAAGAAGGAAGAGGAGAGAAATAACAATAAATTGTATTGAGCAAACGAATCTCTCAAAGTATTCAGTTTTATTTTCTAGAGGAAACTAATTAGCTTCAATCGTAATCAAACTTTGAATTCAACAAACAAATTAATCCTCGATCAATGTCTCACGTTAGACTTTTAATAATTAAAATTATACAAGTTCTCAAGAATTATTGAATCGATGAGTAGATCTACTGTTTCTCCCGCGCGGTATAAACAAACAGGAATTCCTATAGCCGAAAGCGACGACGGTGATCCTCTCAATGTCATCGCGTTCGGAATGTCCCCCGGCGTTTCGGGAAATACACACGCGGTCGATTTGTACGTAGATCCTGTTTCTCCGATGCCGTCGCATCGGATTGCCGGATGACGCGATCGTTAAATCATCTTTTGTGTCGCGCCAGCGGGTTACGCAACAGCGCCCTCGGCGCCGTGTGGTGCGTGCGTGTGTGTGTGTGTGTTTTGCGTGTGTGTGTGTGTGTGTGTGTGTGGGGTGTGTGTGTGTGTGTGCGCATCTCCGCGCGAGAATCGAGAATCGAGATGCGTCACGGCGACGTTGCTGCGCGTCTTCTCCCGACGGCAGCAGCAGAGAGCGGGGAGTCAACGGGGAGAGTCCCGTCTCCCCCCTCCTCAGTTGGTACGTGGGAGTCGTGGGACGCGTTCGTGTCGGTCCGTCCGTGTCGCGTATTCGCGCGCGCCCAGTCGCGCTGGTGGTACACGGCACGCACGACGGGCGCACGGCGGCCCGCGAGTCGTCGGATGTGATCGATAGAAGACACGCGGAGGAGAGAGAGAGAGTGAGATATCGGACACCCCGCGGCTACACCTACACCCGCCTCGCGCTCGCTCGCCGCCGCCGTTCAGCTGTCATCAGTTGTCATTCACGTTGTGTACTCCTCTGCGTGCGCGCGCGTGTGCGTCGTGTGCGTGTGTGCATGGAAGCGCATACTCGCGTGCCGTTCACGTGAGACATACGTATCCCCCTCCTCCCCCCCCCCCCGACCGCGATTGATCGAACCCGCCGCACTAGCTGCTGTGCGGCCGCCGATACGAGGTCGATGAGTAAGATGCGCCTCGAAAATGCTGCAAGAGGAAGATGAAGCCCCGTACGAGATCGTCGCGTCCGATCCGTGAGTATACCTCGCGTGTTTTCTTCCTCACGCGCGTTTGTTCACCCTCCGCCCCCCCCCTCTCTCGACCCGGGGACCCCCCTCGTGTCGTCGCACGACGGCACGTCGGTGTCGTCGGTCGTGTCATGTCACGTCGCGTCGATCTAGAGGTTCATCCCCTTGCCGGGGGACGAGTCGAGTTTGTTACCCTTCTCATCCCCCGCGAGCACACACACACACACCATACACACGCTCCTAAAAATAGACCATGCGCACGGTCTTTCAAGGAGCGCGCTGTCCTGTCACAGTTAAGCCGCGCTAATTATAGTCCTTTGAAGAAACGACATTCCGCGTCGTGCGCGAGACCACCGCGATCTGTCAGGATCGCGAGAGAGAGAGAGATTCGCGAATTTAGGTTAACCCCTCTCTCCCCCCCGCCCTCCGAATTTAGGTTAACCTAAACACGCCGCCTGAGGTTGCACCCCCGTAAATTTTTATCATCTGTGTATCTTGACGTATTGCACACAGGAAGTACTGACAGTCGAGACTCGACGGACTGTTTGTTTATTATATAAGTCTCATTAAATGTCGAGTCGCTTGATTTTTCGTGCATCCGTGAATTTCTCGGTTGATCACCGTACGATCGTTTCCATAATTTCTCCGAACAAATAGTTCATCAAGGTCTATTGGAAATCCCGTCAGGAATTGATCCGCTTGAAATTCGTAAACGATCGAATGTTGACATACGAACACTTTGCTTTCTTTCGTTAATTCAGAGAGATGTCATGAACCTAACCTAAGAATAAAATAAACTACAGTAAAGTAAAATATTGTATTTGATACATGTATATATGTAGTCTGATTTTTTATATACTGTGTGTGTGCTATATATATGCGTATGTACATACAAGACTAGAAATGATAATTTTTTTTTTGTAATATATATATTTTTTTTCTTACAAAAACATTGGCTTTTTTTTCAGGAAGGGAGATGAAATCCAGAAACTTAGTGTTATACAAAGTCTACCAAGTCTTTTAGCTACCGACACGCAATCATGTATGTCTCGAGTGGTACCTAAGATGCAGCAGTCTCTGGCTACTGCGTCAACAGAGTTTCACATAGCAGCATCATCCACATTCAAAACAATTTTAGAGCAGAAGCTTGTCAGCCATAATGTTTTTAGTCAGACATTCCTTCAGAGCATATTAAATTCTTTAGAGAGCCGTGACCCAGGTAAATATATATATATATATATATATATATTTTAATTAAAATAATTGTTACTTTAGAATTTTTACTAGAATACAGTGTTTTATAATTAAAAGTTGAATATATATATATATACCTATATATATATATATATATATATATATATACACTCAATTAAAAAAGCTCTATTCCAAGGTATTATTTAAATTCCACGTTATGTTTTGCATGCGAAAAAAAAAAGATTCTGAAAAATCCTATTCTGGGAATTAATATCGAGCAACTCTCGAAATATAACAATTTCCTATAAAGGTCGGGGGCTTTTGCGGCGAGCCGTGCGCAAAGACACGCGTCTAAGGGTTAATAGGTCGCGCCGAGATTAGCGGGCCGAGGCTTGACGTGCGAGAGTAAATAAGAATCGAGCATCCCCTGCATCGTTGCACAAGTCGAGCAGCAGCCTCTGCGCCAACAGGTGCATGCGCAAACGCGCGCGCAAACCTTCCGCGACTTTGGTCCTTGTTCCAGCGTCGCTTTTTTCGTCCTCCCGTCACGGTCGCGTTTAGTGACGTAATTGCGAATCGAGAGGACGGCTAATGGACGCGCGACGCGCGATCGACGTTTGCAGCTAGACGTCTAATTCAGTCCGTTCGCGCGTGCAAATCGGACCGTATTGTCCCGATACGAAGGACGATACGCTCCATCGGCGGCCAACCGACGTTTCTTATCGCCTTCCGCTGCGCGAGGAACTATGTTGTAAAATTCAATAAAACTTCACGTCACTCGCATGCGCACCAACCCGTTATACATAATCCGCGTAGGATTATTTTTTTTATCCCCTTCTCCTAAAGGTTCTTTTTACGACGAATACGAAATACATGATGCTAAACGCGAATAAAACTAGGTACAGATAACTAGGTGGATAATAGCCGAAGATCGACGCAATTTGCCCAATTGAATACGAAGACGTAATAATATGCGTTTGACACGTCAAATTGAACATTAGATCTGTTTTTCCTAGCTACATTTTATTTTACCAAAAGACGAAGACTTAAAGAATATAAGTATCTCATTTTTATTACGGGAAGCTCGAGAAAGTACAAAAGGAGGATTTTAACAGAGGAGAAGTGTTGAAATTAATTTTACAAGACTCTGAAATTCGATGATAACGATCCTTTGGCCAGAGAAAATTGCAAAGCGATAGGTAAACGTAGAATAGCAGCGCATGCCGGGGATCTCGTATAAGAGCTTCTCGTATAACATCGCTTAAAAGTTTCTCGCCGCCATCCTTGACGTCCGGAAATAAATTCGTCCGAGGACGCGACCCCAGAAAAGTAATCCGGCGTCTCCTCGAAGAGGCGGTACTCAAGGAAGTAGAAGGAATTGACCCCCATTTATTGAAATTCGTCCGAGCTCGATTTTGTCTCTCTCCCTCTGTATCTCTCATCGGATATTCGTCATTTGGGACAGCGGTAACAATCATCGCGTAGCAACTTGGTCGTCAGCGTCGATCAGTGGCGGCGCGCGTCGCGTTCCCCTCGCCCATCACACCGCCTGTGCATCCCCGGCGAGTGCATACCACCCCTTTCGCTCGTGCCTCGTTTCGCCTCCGAAGTGCCAGCTTCCCCACCCCACGTCGCAGGCACCACCACCGACGATATCCCAGTGCCAACCGCCCTCCCTCTCCCTCTTCCACGGCGTCCCTCTCTCCCCTGCTATCGCTGCTTTCTCCGCTCGTCCTCCTCGCCTCCGCTCGTTCCTGCAATCCCCCTTCGACCACCACAAGGACCGAGGTATTGATTCCCCTCGCGGTAGCAGCTCCTCTTCCCTGTTCTCCAGCGGCAGTCCGGAGCGAAGCGCGTTCGCGGCTGCGGACTTGGTGACATCCGCGCGCAAAGGAAAGGGAAGAAGGGAAGGAGAAGAAGCAAAAAAAA